TTGTCTCTTTCGCTTTCATGTGAGAATTTTTGTTCTATAATTGTTTATTGAATGTAATTGAATATTTTTGTGTATGTTGATATTAATGAAAGATTTGATAATTTTCAGATTTGTCTTTTTCACGTCCATATTTATGTTGGAAATTATACGCTATCGTATTAAAAAGTTCCTAATTTACAATTGTATTTGATTATAGTTGCGCGGTAATATCTTTGCACCTGTTGTGTGTGTGTTTTAGGACTCGAGTTAACATTTTCTTCGAATCACACCTTGGAAATTGTGCAAAATATTCACGAAATTGTATTTGATTCTGAAATGGCAGATACAAATTTTTGTTCGAGAAAACGTTGAAGCTTATTGTTTCTAGCACGAGGAAAGTTATATAGCTTTGGATTGAAACTATTCATTGGTACATTTCATGCAGAATTCTTTATTAAAAGAAATGCCAGCGAGGCTTATCAAACTGGAATCAATTTAAACTTCCAAAGAGTTAGGTAAAAACTTCCTGAAACATATTACCAGGTTGAAGAAACCTTTGTGCGCAGTCAGTCTCTTGTTTAACCTGTACGAGTTTCACTCATGCAAAACTTAAAACAGCTAAAATTAAGGTTTTTTTTTTAGATTTCTCAAAAACTATATCGTGCAAATTTTAGTGCCTTACACCTCTATTTAAGAACTTGCAAATCAATTTATAACTACAAACAAGAGTATCAATTAAAAAACTTCATTAAATTTACTGTCTAAAATCGATTTCTAGATTTCTAGATTCCACTAAACCGATATAGTTTTCATTATTCTTTACTAATCGCTGGATATCCTACAACTTTATTCAAGAATTTATAAGTTCAATTTACGTGTATAAAAAGATATCATCTCTAAAATTAATAATTCTAAAACAATGTAAAAAATGTCAATTATTACTTTGGCGAAATAAAATATTTGCTCGTTGCGATAGTCATGAAATCGAACGTTTAGCGTAAATGACCCTGACGCTTTAAAGAATTACTGGGAGCAAGGTGGATAAATGAAGGAACTGAACGTCGTGTTGAGGGCATCTCATTAGTACCTCCACTTTAAAGCGACGTTTCATCACCCCTCCGACCTCTCTCACCCTTCACTGAGCCGCCTAAGTAAAAATCAATAATTCCTTTATCGTACAAATTAACGTTAAGCATATTCCACCCTCGTATACAGGCTCTACAGGCAACGTTACACCGTTTCCTGCCTTCGTATCCTGCATAATATCACCAGCTGCGTCCCTGCAGTCTTGACAGTCCCTCTGACTTCTTCTCCAGACTTCCTTCTTACGCTTTCTTCCACACAAATTACTGTTTCGGAATCCTGGTTCTTGTAAATGCACGTATTCTTTATTTTTAACAGTATGAAATGGAAATATAAATATTTTAATTTCTGTAGTTTATGGAAGCTTATTTTAGGGTTGTTTTGTGGAAAATACTTTCTGCACAGGAACATTCTTTCGAGCAGAATAACGAAATTGTGCACCAAAATTACGTTAGAATAGTAACAAGATTGTTAATAGATTATGACATTATAGAGCTTACATAAGATTAGTATATCGCAATATATTATTATTTGTGTGTATAATACGATAATAGATGTAGTTAGACGAGTTTTAATCACTGATATCTTAACGAGTCAATATTATATTTTTGAGCTATCGTACGATAACAAAATAATCATATTATACGCTCGTGGTAATGTAAATATCAAAAGAAGTGTCTATATTTTTCTAAGAAACTAATAGATAATACTGTAACAGTTTTTCAAACACATTGTTTTCTACGACAACGAAATATTTACAATCATCCAAAACTAATTGTGAATTACTACTTTCGGCTAAAATTTATAAACAAAATATTCCGCCCATATCGGTATTGAAAAAGAATGAGTTAGCTGACAGAATGGTTAACGAAATAATTATCTTACGCTTGAAAATCTACGCTTAATGACGACCAACTTTCTTCTCTAAATAAGATTGAAGATGCAAGATTATTGGAACATGTTTACAATTACATTTCAGTGAGTTATACGTCTGCTAGCTATCACAGTTGAACAAAAATATTTCGACATGCGTCAAACTGTTGGAATTTTCGTGCAAAGGGAAACATCCAGAGGAATATTTATTTGAGACTGTTAAAACACACGGAAATTTCATAAACTGATACATCGTCGGGGAATTAACTCGATCAGTTGGCGGTGGTGTCGGTGGTTTGCGTGCCGACGTTGGCTGAAGGAAGGTCGTTAAATAATTTCAGAGCGCGGTAATTAATGGCAAACGCTTTGTTATCGCGTCGAGCGTGAAACAACGCGGGCACTGCCGCGTGCTGCACGGCCGACTCAAGACGATGTCATATTTATTTCGTTAATCTCTCACCCCCGGCGCTCCGTTTCCCGCCACCGAACCCTCCCCGCTACGCTATCGTTCGCCATAATGGCGGACGATAAAGAAGAGAAACGCTTATCGGAATTAACAAGCCGATAACGCGGCCCCGTAATTTTTTACTACGGGAAAGAAATACGATTTCGTGCAGTCGCCGCGTTCCGAGATTAAGATATTCCGCGGTGAAATTGAATAGTTTCTAGCCGTTTGAATACCGTCGCTCTTATTTCGGGAGGGAACTTACTATTTCGTGTGTACGTTCTGTTTGAAAAGTAATAGCTGGTTAAAGGATATAACTTAATAACAAGATAATATTACACGTTGGATAAGATGGTGACAAGCTAATTACTTTATATCGGTGAAATGATGTTGAGAGAAATACTAGAAATTTTACGACGAAATAAGATCATTGGAAAGAAAATAATTACAATTTCACGGATTATTTGCTTCTAACGAAGCTTTCTAACTGAAACTAAATATTTTTATATTAAATAGCTAAAAATGGAAACTCTTGTTAAAGTTAACTACAGATATAAATCGTTAATGCGATTAATATATTTTAATATCTTCCATATTTTATTGTTATAGCGAGCAATGTCTTTTTAATCAAATAGAAAGATAATTTCAGTAACGTAGGATTAATTGGCAATTAATTAACAACAAGATACAGAACTTTAAATCTGCTGCAAAATGGAAAATGTGATTTATCGTGTTCTTCCCCTATAGGGGAATATATGTTTGTGTCGAAAAGACGTTGAAGAAGTATTGGAATCATATGTACAATATATCATGGAGAGTGCTATATCTGGTACAGATACATTATCTTCATATATTAACCGATAAAAATAGTATCAGAACAGTTACGTACGCCACGCACTTCGTATGAAATTTATTAAATAATAATGGAACAAGTTGTATCGGAAGAGTATTCTAAAATAACAAACGAAAGCAATGACCTGGATAACTCGCTTATCTCCAATTATTCAACTATTCAACAACCGAATACACAATTTTTGCCAATCACGAAGTTTTCGATTTTCAATTTCTTAAATAGTTTCCCAGATAATTACAATATTTCTGCAGTAAAAACTTCTTTACCATCTTATTACCACCGCGATTAACAGATTCCTAGTTTGCGTACGTATTTTGCAACATAAAACTTAATAAAACACGGTGAACGACACGAATACTAAACAAGATTTCAAAGAGGAGATATTTCATACAAAAAGGCCTTTATAATCTTTAACTTTCATACCATACGATATCTTTTTACAACCATCCGTAAAACGGTCAAATTCGATGAACTCCGCTGCTCAGACTGAATAAACACATTCCGTTTATGCATCCGTACATTTTTCATCGCAAACACAAGCCTACATAACAGTGATACTCTTATACCGTGGTATCGCGTTCTCCACTATCGCGAATCATAATCAGCAAGCTGGGCAAATTAATTTGTCCGCGTCGGACGTATAATTAGATGGCCGCGAAAGCGGGACTCGCGTTCGATTCATTAAGTCGATCGTAATGGTGATCGACGACAGACGGATATCCAACATTATGCTCGTATTATCGAGCTTATTTCCAACGTGGACGCGGTAGATGGGGGACGTAGCGGACGAGGAGACGTCCGGGCGTAAAATTCCACCCACTCGTCACGGCCTGACGAATAACAAGAGATTCGGGACGATAACGTTTTAACTGCCGACTAACACACTACGCGACCGTGGATTATCGGGGCCTTATCGGTCGACATTACGGACCTGGACGTGGAGAAAACGAATGGCCCACCCTGCCATAATGCGTTCCTTTCAGGTTGTGTGGATGTACGTACACGTGTGTATCTGTGTGAGTACCTGTTGTAGATTAGGATAACGAAGGCAACGTTGCGAGGTTCCAGCAGGTCGTCACAGGTTCTTCAACCCCCCCAAATAGCGTAGTTCGTTCTTTGTGTGTTTTAGTCACCTTGTGATTTAGTTGGATGGACTGGTGATATTAGAGAATAGAGTTTCGTTTCGGGTCGAGTTTGTTGCTTGAAAAACTGATTTCTTAAAAAAATAATTGATTTGTTTCTGTAGGATTATTTAAGGCAAATGGATCACACGAATCACTTTTCATGGAACTGATTAATATGGCTTCTGGACAGTCCATGTAAGATTGATTTCTTCGATTTATCGTATAATGAAGTTATCGTGATACCGTATCAGATTTTAATTTGATGACGATTAACAGAATCACAAAATAATAGGAACATTTATTAATAGAGAGATTGATCGAACGAATTTTGCTAACAAAATTAAGATATTTTCTATATTTCACAAATTCACAAATTTAAATTCTACAAAAGATACACATACTTTATTCCCAAATAATCACTATCAGCTTATCTATATCGTTCCAAGCTATGAAATAATCGAACAAACACGTATATCACGAGAGATCTTCCCTATCGTCATTCTATTCATTCTACCTCGCCCATCACACCATGTCAAATAGTCACTCTTTTTATTATCAACTCGACACGTACCTATCAAATCTTAGAACGTCAAATATATTAAATTCTCCTACTAAAGGAAAGCTTGAATTTTTTCTGTTCCAGGTAAGACTCTTCGATTGACCAGAACCAGGCCATCCATTGAGTTCGCCGATCTCACGAAGTTCCCTTGGCTCGTCTGATCCTTGTCAGCCTTGTGACCTTGGCTTGCCAGCTAAGAGGTTTACCTTGGTAAACCCTGATATCTCGGCATACCACTCGGGGTCTCGGTCGAGGGATTAAGACAGGGTTGTTCGGCGAGACGACAGAGGGCCGGTGGAATCGGCGCGAACAGGCTAGAACGCGAGAGACTGAGAGTGAAAGCGAGATAAAGGCAGGGTAGTAGCCAAGAGAAAGGGAAAAGAGACTGTAACCGTACGCCCGTATAATTGATTGAGTCTAATGAGTTAAAGGGGATACCATGGTATCGGGGTTGGAGGAATTAAAGAGTTCTGGGTCATGAAGGCGACAACCCCCGGGACAGAGAGAAAGTGCGGAAACTTAGGTACTCACGCCCCTCCTCCACTCTGGTCCTGGCTTTCTCTATTGCTTCGCCCCTCGCGAGAACCGCCACGAGGGCGCTGATTGTAAATTAGTTAAAGGAGATGCTTCATTAGAATCAGCTGATTCTTAGATTTTAACCGACAACAGAATGGAATATTCTGGAAGTATCAAGGGGATGATGGATTGATCGAGAATTACGTACTTGGTTTCGTACGATTTATTTCCTTCTGAGGTTTTGCTGAAGATTAACGAGACTGTATATATACCGTTTTTAATTCTTACGCATCTTCCTTTTTTTACGAGATTCTTCGAGTCACCCTTAGTCGGTTAGTTTAAATGCAGTCTCGGTATTTTAGACCGATGATTATTAAATGGAAAAGGTTCATATAGAAAAGTTTGTGACATTTTCAGATTTACTCTGTCATTCTTCTTAATACTTTAGACTCATTTTTTTACTACTTTACGTATCGGACAAGAGTAATAATTAAGTTTGACAATGACCAGCTAATTGATTTTCTCCGATTAACAGATCATAAAGATTCTAAATGAAATTAAAAAATAGGTAATGTTGGGAAAATTAAATTGAAAGAAGCGGTAGATTAGGCTTTCGTCTAATTATAAGCATCGCTGGAAGTTAACCAGTAACGATTTAATTCGTCTTCTCAGACTAACACGTTGACAGGTGCATTTTTACATTTATCTTGGTATTGCAGAAGATAACGCAGTAACATTGCCAAGAACACGTCACACACATATTTCCATACACTTGTCGCTAATTACCGAGACCACAGTTGTTCAATCCTCTCCGTGGTATTTGCATTCCTCCGCCAAAACGATACGAGCAAATTATCAAAAATGTATACTCGGCGCGGCCGGGTCCGACGCAATCTCATTCTATCTGCGCGATATTACTTTTCGGTCGCCGCGAAACAGTATCTCGAGGACGTCTCGGCGTCGCGTCGCTGGCTTTTCAATTTGCTCCTGTGGAGAAAAAAGGAGGCCGCGAAACGCGAACAAGGAAGCGTCCTCCGGTTGGAAAGGAGATGGACCAAGAGAGAAGGCGGGCAAGAAAGAAGGCAAACCGCACACGAGAACCGCCACGGTATCTTCCACATCCCCCAGGGAAATTATTGACAGTCAGCGAGGAAATGACGTCGTAAATACCACGTCGGAGGTCCCCGAACCCTCTGGCCTCTACTCGCCGACCTCCCCTTCTACCAGGCGCCACCTTCTTGCGCTTCTTCTCGCGTAATCCCATTCCCCTTTTGTTTTCTTCGCGCCTCAGTCTAACCTTCCTTCCTCCTTACGCGATCCGCTCTACAATTGATTCGATACGTTACTTCTTTCTAAGCATATTTTTTACTCGGACTAACCAACTGAACGCGTTTCGCCTGTTTGACGCTTCATTTTTTTCGGCTACCGGAATTAGGGATTTGGTGGTTTCGATGTTTATCGCGAGGAGTTTCGAAGTAATAGATGGAAAAGAGAGTTTTAACGATAAAGAGATTTTTGTAAGTTTGACTTGGTGCAATGTTATAAAAGCTTCTGACATCGAATTGCTCGATTTGTTTCGGAATAATATCTTGTACACTGATCAGGCAATCGATCTTTTACCACTTTCCAAATATCGGTTTTTCTAAAGCTTCTCACGTGTTGTTATACATTCGAAAAGACAAAAGGGAAGGAAGAAGACGACAGATATAATAATATTACGTAAATATTAAAAATAAACTGCGCGACGTCCTGCGCTACATCGAATAACTTTCCTTTCTCTTTATCTTGTTCCATCTTTGACTATTTCTCGTTTCTATTTAGCTTTTTGTTTCCGTTTCGTCCGATTTTTCAAACTGTGCGACTAAACGAGAAAGGGCTGGCTTCCTTATTTGTCACGAAAACGTCGTCATATCCAACTGAAACAGGCCCGCCTTTCGTAACTGCGTTTCAGAAAACATTTTCACCGTATAAAACGCGTTTTTTGATGGAAGTGGGTAGAACGAAACCAACAGGGTAGAATTACAACATCTCGTGCGAACTGTATAGTACGTGAAGTATGCACGAAGTACTGAAGTACCGAAGTATGATTTCATGTCAGGATAATTGCTACGAGTGTTGCGTAAAATTGACAGGTTCCTCTGGTATGATTGAGGTAGAAATAGGAGTGTATGTGACAGGTGTTGCAGGTGGTTCCAACGGAAAAATTTGACATAAGGGAACGATTGCGGTTGAAGTATGATTTTATGAATCTGCAGAAACTTATAATTATTAGATTTAGTTTTGCGTTTTAAAACTCTTTACTTTAGAAATTATTAGATTTGTTTCTGTACTTTGTTCTGTTTCTTTATATAAAGAGGAATATTATATAAACTTATTATTTAACTTTATTGTTTAACAATTATTCCTCTATGTATAATTAATTAATGACTTCTATAGAAGGAATACAAATCGTGAAACTGTTACTTTTGCAGAAAATTGACAAAATTAGATAAATAATATTTGCAGCAATATTAGAATAAAGCGTCAATAAGAGTAATAGACAAATTTAATAATTTCAAAAAATCGTGACAATTTATTATGCTTAGAAAAAGCATTGCAACTCTCATTAGTAATTTCATTTTCGTTAGAATCATCGTTAGAGGAAAGATAAGAAGAAGAGCACTCAGTTGTTGAAAGCATCGTCTCTAAGAATTTTGTATGTGGTCGTTATTCGAGTATTCTTGGCAATGTTTCGCAACCCCCGTTTTTTTCTCAAGGTTCTCCAAAAATTCCTGTAAAAAGGAAGCGAAAGAGATTCCTACGTGCATGCATTTAGCCGAGTGAAAGGGGCCGTTTCAAAAGAGCAAAGGCGGCCAAGTTGAAACGCCCATTATTTGGCTGAAATGAGTATACAGACTGTTTCCGGTTTCGTTTACGGAAACGGCATGCACACGGACATATACCGTGGAAAAAATTGAGATCCCTTGTTTGTCGTAACGTCGTCGAACCGCGCCCAAGTGAGAGGATGTTATCTTTTTAACAGTCCGGGGAAAGTGAATTAAACGTTTCGAAACTCGACCACCGAATAATTTTACTTGCGGTCTCGAGGTTTTGTGTATATTCGAGATATCGTGTACAAATAAAAAGAATGTGGTTTCGCTCGGCGTTTTGTCCATGGAAGCCATTTTAGTGAAAGATGTTCTCAAGTACTAATTTTTGAGAGTATAATTCCTTGTAATTCCAATTTGATTTAATTTAGATTTAATTTAACTATTCGTAAAATTTGACTTTCATCGATTCAATTTTTAAATCTTCAAACATAACATTTTTTTAATCAAATTAACATTTTTGCAGAACAATATTTCAGAGTATAATTTCACGTAATTTCAATTCTATTTACTTTAAAAGCGTAGAATTTTTCAATTTCTACGAATCGAACTTTAAAATTCCTTTTCCAAAAAAGATAGGTTACGAATATGGAAGTTAGACCGAAGTTTGGATATTGGAAAAATTTATTTGTTGCTATGGGTATCCATATCAAAGTTGCGTTTATTTAGGAAGGAATATAAGAATTGTATGAAGAATTTCTTATTTCTAATAAACCTAACATAATTTTAACGTAGAAGCATTTTGATATATTATGTGATTTTTCAAATTATAATCAAACAGGAAAAAGTTTTTATAATTTCTTGTAAATTAAAAATTCTATAGCTGCAAATTTTAAAGATCAACAATATTCTTTTAATAGACAGCCGCCTAATCGTAAAAAAATGTTTTACATCAGAAATATACATAGTTAAATTTTGCTCTTTCATTAAAGCGATTCGTAAACATAATTGAAAAAAGATATCGCTCGTCAGCTAAAAGTACTGTGAAATCTGTACATTACCAAGGTTGATTATCCTGTAAAAGTCTCTCTGGTTAAAAACCGACGTAAAACTTGGAAAATTCTGCTCTTTAGCAAAAAAGTCCAATATCATTTAACGACGCTGCGTGTTGCATGGCCGAAGAAGAAAGGTATTTTAACAGCTGAGATGTTGTGTTCTCGTGTTTTGCCGCCGTGTCGTTTAAAACGAGGATCCGGCTGGAGAAACAAACAATAAAGAACCCTTTCGTTGCGCCAGTTTCTCGTAGTTGCTCATCGTTATGACCGTTTTAACGCTTTTTATCATTTCCCTGCTGTCTCTCGCGTCGCTTTTACAAAAACTCTTAACGCTCGCGTGACGTAAAATGATTTTGCGAAAGTGTGTTGCCAAAGCAATTAATGAGATGATACACTGTAGTCGAAGTAAGAAAAAAGTTACTATATCGTACGTTTAACGAAAATGTTAAAACATAAACTTGAGAATAATTTTTAATATAGAATACAGACTTGGAATATAGATAGATTTTTGTTATCCTATCAGAAATATTTGTAAACTATGTAGAGAAATTTTTACAACGATTTGTTAATATTTATTTATGGATAAGAAAACAAGGTTAGAGAGTTTCTAAAGCTTGGAAGAAATTTTTTCGCGGGAATAGTTTTCTCATATCTTTCTTAAGCCTCGGTAATATGTAAATAGCGTGAAATTTCAAGTCGTATTTTAATGATATGACTTAATGATATGATTTAAACAATTTATTAGATGTATCATTTTTTCCTTAGTTGTGATTTTACAATTGTATATAAAAGTATTATTAGGGTTATTTTTCCAAATCGTGCAACGATGTCAGAATTTCTAGGAGAAACGTTTATTTCTGTAAATGCGTACCATATGTGTGTTGCATCATGCCACTGCAAGTAGTACCAGGAGAAGCTATTACTCTACGGTAAACTGTGAACAATTGCAATCTAAACAACTGCATAAGCTATTCGTAATAACAGTTAACGTTTCCACGAAGCATATTTCATTCACCAAGACCTTGATTGCTTTGAGATTTACGCTTTGTTTTCTATCTGCCCATAAACGCAGCTGCATACTTACTCAGATCAATTACTTTCATCTATTCTTGGACCTTTACAAAAATTCGATTCTTCGATTCTTCGCATAGATATAACTGAATTATTTCCGCAGTATAGTATTTACACGAAATAAAACGATCGCGATAAATGTGTAAGAGGTAATACACCAGCCGTCAATTGTCCGATCAAAATTTTCAGACGAAAAGAGAATTACAAAATGGAATATTAAGAAGAACAAGTTTTAACAAAAATCAAATAATACAGAAATACAAGTAATTTTCAAGAACTGTTACCGATGTCTCCGCGTGATCATTGAAATTAACATCCAAATTTCATCCTCTGTTTAAGATTTAAAAAATGAAAATTTTCAGACGAAAAGAGAATTACAAAATGGAATATTAAGAAGAACAAGTTTTAACAAAAATCAAATAATACAGAAATACAAGTAATTTTCAAGAACTGCCACCGATGTCTCCGCGTGATCATTGAAATTAACATCCAAATTATTCATCTTCTGTTTAAGATTTAACGCGAATAGATAGGTTAATTAAATTTTGGAATTGTATTTTTATTTTATTTATTTATTGTCTAAATGGAAGAATAATGTCGAGTACGAATAGCGCTACTGAAAATCTCGAAATACTTTCAAAAATGATACTACAATTCTATCGTTCTTTTTAAATGTGAAACTCCAGTTTCTATTATTATACAAACCTGTCCAATCATCAACGTGCATACAACCACGATAAAATGCAATTTCATACGTAATCTTACGTAATCCATAAAGAAGAAGGATCAAGGCGTGCGTAAAAATGGCTGCGTGTAAGAAGTCTGAAACTCGTTGCCGTAATGTTTTCATCGGGAATATTGCAGCCGATGCCCCCGGCCACCCCCGTATCCGTACCTTATCCCGAGTTTCTCTACCGCGTGGCGGAGAACGAACGCATTATTCGCGGAAACGATCCTTCCTTTCGCCTCGCGGCCACGAAGAAAAGGGCCGAGTTCTCTCGCGGCGAAAAACCAGCTAGAAGAAGACGCGACGCGAGGAAAAACGGCCAAGAGAGGATTACGGTGATGTAGGCGATGCTATTGGTTGAACGAGGAGGGAAGCGTATCTCTGGCGTGGAAACGGAACAAAGAGGAACGAAACGAGGGACGAAGGCGGCGGAGAGGACAGAGACGGAAAAACGGGATCCGCCGGCTAAGGGTAGTTATTATAATAAATTTGTCGGGGATTTAAGAAGCGGAAACAATTCAGAACTGCGAGTGACTCTAAGGATGTGCTTATCGTTGCTTTTATTCAAATGGGAGTGGAAGGCGACGAGCTGCGCCGGATGCGACCTGCATCTCCGACTCGCTTTTTCTGCTTCTATCCCCACCTACTATCTTTTCTCTGTTTTCAGTCGCTTCTGTTCGCCTTCCTCTTCCTCGTGCCGGAGAGATGGGAAAAGCGTTTTCAAAGTGGAAGAAGTGCTTCTGCTTGCGGAGAGAAATCGAATGTGGAGTTTTTTACGGACGTTGATTAGGCGTTGCATGGAAATATTACGTTTGCAAGGTTTATAGAGAAATTTCAGTAGGTGTTGAAGAAAGCATATTTCTGTAAAATTTATATCTTTTAAAGTGAAATACGTATCGTTTCTTTTCAGTGGATACAGAATTTACTCAAACTTAACTTGAAGGTTGAGAATTCGTTAATACATATTCTTAAGAAGCTAATACGTTCCAAAGGTT